TGCTCTTCCATTATAAACATGTGTTTCATAATCCACTCCAAACTGTAACAAATGAATGTCATGGCACTGGAAAGTAACCTCATAGTTTATAAAATCTAAGATGCAATTTTTGAATAATATCTACATGTTTTGAAAACACAGAGGAAACAGGTTTATTTACCAGAAGTGCAGACTCAATCATTAAAGTCACATTAAATTATTTATTAAGCAAATTAAAGAAAATGTCATCCATTTTTCTTACAAAGTCTTCCATGATTTTATATCAGTGACACAGAAAGGAGTCCTGCATTTGAAGAATAACAGCAAAAAATCATATGGTTTTACAATAATAAAGTCAAAAATTTTAAGAATTATACATTATTCATTAGTTAACAACAACAGCATAGCCAAGATTGCTTGGCTTTCCTTTCTGGAAATGTGAAATCAAAGTGGTGTGATTTCTCTCAGAACAAACCTGGAATCTCACTGTATGCCAATGCTGTAAGATATGAGTTCTATTATCAGTTTTCAGTCTACATATCAAGTGATAAATATAAAGTTTATCATATTGTGTATCTTTTTCTTTACAAAAGTATTTCACCTTACCTAGGTATACATGATGAAAACAAAAGGAATCCATGTTTCCCTTTAAATATATGCATTCTTAAATGATACAAAGAACTCACATGAATATTACCCTATGTTGTACATTTTGAAAAGTACCTATATGGAATAGTGTTCATAAATCAAATAGAATGTCCACAAGTATACATCTCCTACACATTAAACCAAGTGTGTAAAAATCAGTACCTTTGGCTCTAGCCACAGCACAGAGCAACAACAAAAAAAATAAATCTACTTCTATCAGTATAAAGAGAAAAGTTCACATCTTAGGCCAAAAAGAAGAAAGCCTCATTAAGGAATTTTATATTCAAAAGGAACTAATCTTAGTCTAAAATTTAGTAGTCAGAAACAATTCTAAAAGAAACTTCTTGGTGATGGTGTGCCCCTTTCCAGAAGAGGAGATGTCCTTGTTGCCTTTCACAACATAACAGAATTGGTAGATTACATTTAAGTCTATTAGAATTCCCTGCGGTTTAAAGGTGGATTTAGAAAATATCACTGGATCAATATAAACTGGTCAAAACTTCAAGAGTATTTCCTTGATTAATCACTTCACATCACAAAAACTTTTCAAGCAAATAAAAGCTCATAGCAAAAAATTTAAAAGTTAAGACATCTAACTATGACTAATTTTACAGTTTAAGAATTACCAGAAAGCACTAAGAGTAAAACTACTATGCAATATTCTACAAGTTGGATCTGTGACCTAGTTCTCGGACCATGTGACCATGGTGATTAGCATTGGGAATCTATTTGAAACCAAGGTTCCCTTGCTGTCTCCCTTCATCCCCCAAACACCAAAGTCATCCTTCTTTCATGGCTTGTATATGTGTGTTCAACTAGTTGCTGACACAAATAGCCTATTCTTTCTAAAATTATTTTAATCAAAGTTTTTGCCTTGTAATAGTGGATTGAAAGGATGCTTCAAATTATAGCTTTTTAAATAGATTCGGTTTTAACTTGGATCTCTAGCCTCTTAACATTATCTGAAAGATGTCCATTATGCATTCTGAAGGGAAGGGTTTAGAAAAAAAGACACCAAACAGGCTTAATCTTTGGTGTCTCTTGCACGTTAAAATCACAGAGTGACTTCATATTTGGTTCCGTGAAGCTTCTGCTGTCCTCCCACAGATGGGAAGGTGATCCATCACAGGGTCCCTGACTGCCGTCAATACCCCTTTGTAACTGCAATGACTGAGTCAACTCTTCCCATCCTCAATAGCCGAGACAGTGTCAACATCTGCTTCCAATAATGTTGGTTCATTTATTTCCCTCGAATAGAGTAAATCCGCTGACTGAGATGGTAAAAGGGGTACTCCCCCCTCCCTTTCCATGAGAGGAATTTTTTTCCACCATATTGTGCAACTTTCCCTCCAAGGCAAGTAAAAACAAGGAGTGGGGGGGGGAGAGAATAATTGAAAGGAAACATTCTTAATCGAGTGCCACGGAAACACAATGTATATCTGACAAATACAAGTTAGGCAGCTTGAAGGCAAAAGGCACTGTCCTCCTCATTTCAGAGACAGCAATGTATGGAGTTGTGAATGACTATGACTCAGACTCATCCCACATACCACTAAATGTTTAATTAACTTTCCTTCTAAAACACCGTATTAAAAATTCAGAGTTAATTAAGAACTCAGCAATTTTTTTTCCTCCTGTAAGTAAGAAGAGAAAAAGATTCTCTTTGCCATGACTCCTTAGAGAAAAGCAGCCACTGGTTTACTTGACTGCTGAATGAATATGCAACATGAAGAAAAAGAAAGGATACTTTAAGAGTTCAACTTAAAAGCCAACTCGTTGAACTGATGCTCATTTGTGGAGGCTGTCAGTTACTTAAACTATACTATAAGTCAGGCACATCTGTATGTTTTCAAACTTTTGCAGCCTTCCTTATTAGGTAGCATTATCCCAGTTTTATCATGAGGTAAATAAATGACGTTCCAAATCACAAAATAAGCCATGGCTAAGTCAGAATTCGGTGAAGAGCAAGTTTACACTAACTCATCCTGCTCCCCCGCTCTCCTCTCAGTTGAAACAGGAGCAGGTGTCCTTGTCTTGTCCATCACTTACTGCCGCCCCCACCGGCTAATTCAGCAAATACTATTTCACACAAGATGCTTTTCATAAGGGACAGAATGCAATTTCTAACGATACAGTCTCTGTCACTTGAAATTACAGTTACAACCTTCAGCCACACAGTGAGCTTAAAGCTACTTCCTTTCCCATTTTCTGTAAGCTTGGAAATGGACAAATACTGTTTGTAAAATAAACAAGGAACTCATATAGGCATCCTATAGAACATTTTTAATCATATAAATTCAGAAAATGTATTCTTCAATATTTTTGCAATTCACTAATTCTCACTCTATACATTTTTTGGGCAATGTTACTATTTTGTGAAGGTAATATAATGCAAATCTTAAAAAGAAATAGATACAAGAAAAGTTAAAAAATTATCTTTCTTTGTTCATGAAATTTTTAGACTCTAAACTTTAGAGGGCCTTTACAAATTCACAAAGAAAGATCATATATCCTGTGTGGATCCATATAGAGAACATTATGATGTTTCTTGGATTAGATAGTCCATTAATGGAGTAATAGATTATATATAGAATAATAAAGTTTTCCAGTGTCATGTTTACAGGTTTTCAGATAGACTGAAAGAAAATTAAGTCATAAAATAGTCAAAGGTAGAATGGGTTTAATGAAGTCAGAGGGGCAGCTGGTACCCACCTTTCAACAAAGCAGCCATACTTTGAAGTGAAAAGTCCATATTCAGAGTATAATAGCACTTTACATGCGAATGTATTCAGATTATTTATTTTGCTATGTTATAACTCCCTTTACTATTTCTGGTTGTTAGAGTAATGTCAAAACATTGAGTGATGCTGAGACATGTTTCCTCTCCTTTCACTTGATTTTGATGTATATCTTTGGTGACAGTGTGCCCCTCATACCCATGCCTGCTCTTTAATGGAGGGAGAGCACATGTCTTTGCTGCATGTAGAAGATTCAGATTTTCCACTTTCCTTAGACCTTGAAACAAATAATGTTTTGCCCACAGTTCAGAGAGGATAAGAGCAAAAATTACTAAACTGTCTGCTTTCTCTTTCCATCCAATTTGATGATAAAGAAAGAAATAAGCAAAGAGTTGGCCCTCTTAACCTCACCTTAACTAGGAAAATCCAATGAAAGAAGCCCATTGAGCTCAAGAGTGGCACCACTCTAAGAGGCTGCAATGGAAGTTGGTATGTTCAAAGACAAGATGAGACAACAGCCAATGAATCTCCCACCTGCGTGTTGCTGAGAGCTTGGGTCTCAAAACTCAGGAGGACTCAAGCCAAAATGAATTTGACAGATTCATTCAACTCTGTGGTCCACATGTCGGTGCAGGTAACAAATAAAATCTTTTTTTAAATCAATGTCCAGACAAAAAGGAACAGAATTTAATGAGGCCACTGTCTGGATATTTAAATTATGTATCAGCAAGTGGAAGCTACTATAAGTCTAGACTCCATGGAGGGTGGGGGAATGTGAAGACCGTGTTAAAGAAAACCAAGGTGAAGAAATGGTGGAGTCTGTAGATATAAGCAATGGTACGGGATTATCATGCAAATACAGAAGGAGGAGAAAGTAATGCATATGAGACAGCCAAGGCAAATGTTAGGAAAGGAGTTGTGAGGACTCTGCTGAACCACTTGTGTGGTTAATGTGTAAAGTATTCACACCCACGATGTACACAATTAAAAACAGAAAGTAGCACATTTCTCAACATACTGTTCTGTGTGGGTTGAAAGAGATGAGAAAATTATCAAATACAAACATCTGTACCACACTCAGTTCCTATATAACCATTGGCTGGGAGCAACTGAAAAGAACAAGAGACTGTGTCTTTGATTTGCCAGTCACCGCTACCTTCATAATCGTAATCTTGGCTTAATCTTCTCTCTAGGTTAATAATCCCAACACTTCACTTTTTTTTATGTGTGGCCCATGTGAGTTTCATTTCTCAAACTTTCAATTTTTAATTCAGTTTCTGCAATTAATTGAAGTATAAAAATAAATTCATTGCCGTTCTGATTTTTCTGCAATTTTTCAAAACTAATTGCACTTAAAAAAAATTAAAATCTTGCAACATGCTTCAATTAAATCATTACATATAGAATACATTACTTGTCAGTTTACAATGGAGAGGAACAGTCAGTGCTTTGTCACGTGCCTTACTCCTTTCCTGAAGCTACTCATTTGAATTCACTACAGGAAATAAATCTCTTCAAAGTATGACTTTCAAAACTGCCATAAATGAATGGTTAGAAATTAGGAAAGATAGTCACTGGTATCCACAGGTATCATGGCTAAATGCATTGTTTTTCCTGTATTCAACAAAGGTGTGCATAAGCTCTTTTCCCAATTATAAAGATTGGATGGACTATAGAGAGATGACATTTTGTTCATTAAGCTAAACTATCTTGTTAGTCAACCTCCAAGAACTCTTTTGGAAGAAATAAAAGTAATAAAATATGCTATAATCTGTGGCCCTTTAAAAGAAACTGCCTTTTCAAACTGCACATATATAATTGCAAACTAAGGGAGCTATAATGGAATGAAATCTTCACTGAGATTCAGTATCAACTCAGTGCTGCACTGGTTTGTCTAAGAGAGCGCCACTGCTGAGAAAGGCTGAAACCCGTGAGGTTCCCTCAGAAGCACAGACACAGAGTATCCCGACACTTTAAAGAGCTGCACTTCAACACATTTTGACCAGTGCTTTTCTGAGAGCAAGTTCTTTAAACAGAACTCAACAATTGTTACAATATTAAAAAAAAAAATTACATCCCTCAAAAATATCTCCTCCATGCTAAATCAAAGTTTCTGTAGTTCTACAACAATAGAAGAGAAAGCTACAAGACGGTTTTCCTGAAGGAATGAGCATTTCTTCTGTTGGCTCATCTTCTGACAAGGTGGCTGGTTCAAACAGAAAAAAAGAGGAAGCAAACAAAAACTAACGCAGGTTCTGGTACAGGCGAGTAAAACGAGACGCTGCAAAGCTGACAAAGGCTCAGATGGAGGAAAACAGACAAAATGCTTCTCTTCAATGTTTAGGACCCACTCTTTTCTCCAGAAACAGTTCAAATCTAAAGACAATGGCCTTATATGTTCTCTTCTCCATCCATTTTTCCTGTGTGCATTGCTGGATAGGAAATCTCAATGGCATCTTTTCTTAGTGGCCCCCGGATTCAGGTTGCAATATCACTTGCTAATACCATGATTCAGTACCAAGCTGATTCTTTGCTCTTGTCCTGATGCTGAAGACCTAAAAATGATGAGAAAGGAAAATAATGAAGAGCAAGCATACACATGAAGCATTCATAAATGTTCCTGACCTGCAATAAACTGAGTAAAGAATGTGAACCCCTGGCAATCATGAGAAATGACTTAAGGACAACCTGTTCTCTAAAAAGGCCTAGGAGTACAATATGTAAAAAGAAGGAGTACTAGAACAATGCTGTTAATGCAATAGAAATTCTTGGCTTCCTTTTATTTTCTTGGATTAGGAGTGCATTATAATTAGAAATTGTACCTTAACTTCAAGAGGAAATGATAATGGAAGAGAAAACAGACATAAACAACTTGAGGAACATTTGAACAATCCTTCAGTTAAAACTTCCAGCAACCAGTGCAAGTAGACTTGTGGACTAATATTTTCAGGTGTTTTAAAATGTATTTCATTCAGAGGGACATCATTAAAGTCACATAGAGCGAGTGGGTAAGTATGACTAAAGCATGGAGTTTAGTAGCATTGCTAAGCTAGTAGGCCCTAGTGTGACTAATACAACCTATAACCTATTTGCTAATTTACTTCTTTCAACATCCTTCCCATCATGAATTCAGAGTGGCTCAGGAAAATCTCAGGGGCACTGCAAGCAAATGAGATTACATTAAGCATAAAACAGATATGTGAAAATGTCAGATTTTGAACAGACAGGTAAAATTGGAAGTTGATGAAAGAGAACATTTAGAAAAATGTGAATCTGTCTTGGGACTACTACAGTCATTTAATTTCTGATACAGTCAATTAGCAGGGGATTTCCCCCCAAACTCACCGGACATCAAGTTTCATTTTGTATGGATTTTTAATTGCTTTTTAAAATATAATTAATAAACACACACACAAATATATTGAATGTATGTATTAAAATATTTTGATGTACATATATGTTGAAACAGTTACTATAGTCAGTTATCATGTCTATCACCTCTTTCAGCTTCCTGTACTTTTATATCTGAGGCAAATAATTTGGAAGAGTGAATACTGACTAAAGCTTCTTAGGTCATTCAGAACAAAATACCAAAATGTGAATGTGGGTAGAAAGAAACGACAATTGTTATATTTGTGCCAGGATCTCTGGCTATTTTCCCGGCCCTTTGTTTAAAGGTGATATCAATTTGGACTGAATATTAGAAACTGAAAAAAAAAACAATGATCCAGGAAAGTTTTACATTTTGATTGCTACTATAAATAATATTACTTGTCCCTCAAACTATCAAAGAATTTTTATCATATAAAGATATCATTTTAAACACTGTCACTGGATGCAGATATTAAGACATCATTCTCAACATAACGTGACAGAATAAATAAAAGAAACACAAGAAGCGCATCAGAATTACAAGGAACGGTCTACACAGAAAAAAGCACTTGAGTATTGACTGAAGGCTACATGGGTTTCAAAAGAATGGTTTACCATTTTCTAAGATTACTGGCATTTCACTTAATGCACAATTTTTACTCCCGTTACAAAGACGAGGAAGAGGATGATACAAGAGAAAGAGGGAGGGAGGAAGAAAAAAAATAAAAAAATCAGGAATGTATCACAACCCTCATTTGATTTATTCATTTTCAAATAACGTTGTGGGTAGAAAAATTTGCAAGCTGACATAGTCTCTGTGGGGTGACTTGTATAATCTAAGCCACCTTTACTGACAATTTGCTGACTACAGAAATATTTTTTTCATTATTAATACTTCTCATCTTCTACATGACATAGTATTTCCAGAGCTGAAGACTGCATCAATCTATAGAATGTCAACACTGCAAGTCATGAATACTGCTGCAATCATTGAGTGGTCTAACTTTTTTTTTCTTTTAAAATAAAGACAATCCCTAGTTTGATGTGCAAAAATATATGACTCCTTCAGATCATGCAAGCATTTTATCATACCCAAGTATGGAATTACTTAAGACGGACTTCAAATTTTCAACCAGAAGAGCAGGAATCATTTTCTCATTATAGATACATCTCTTCCATGTTTGATTCCATGTCTCTATGCCACTCCAGAGTACAGTTTCTTTTTTTTTTAAAATCCATCTGCCAATTCATCTATAAACTCCCAGTTATTAAACAACTATTAGTTCCTGGTGGGTTAGCTTCTTCTTAGTGGGAAGACATAAATCAAATCTTTGTTTTAATTTCCAGGTATCATTTTCTGTAAATTTCAAAATAAGCATAATTTTGCAAAGAAGAGTGACACAAGCCCTACTAATATGCTGCACCATAAATGCAGGACCATTTTCCTAGTAAAGACAGTTACAGTGGTGATTCAGGACACTTAAGAACTAGCCACTTAGTTTTCGGCCAACAAAATGGAGAGAAAATTGTTAGTTATGATCCTTGTGTGGTCTACACACAAATCACAATTTTCCAAAAGCTTGTGAGAAGAGACTCTCCTCTGCTACAAACTTGCTCTTATGTGGACTCCTTTGCTCCTCCAATGCCAATCAAATCTATATGGAATTAGGTCCTGATACATTCTGAGACATTCACTGGTTGTAAGAAATCACCAGATGCCCCTTTCTTTGTGTTAGCAATGCCATTTTGGTTCTATTCTTCAGTCCATACACTATTTTAGTAGAAGGGAAAATAAAAAGTATGAGAACAAGGCCAGCTAACATTCTTAGGAGTTGGGTGTGCCAAGCTTTGGACTAGGAATTTTACATGAGAACATCAATCTTCTCAGTCATGCTTTAACGATATGTATTTTACTCAATGAAAATGCAGTGTTGGGGAATATAATTTTAAGGTGTGCTACTTTTGTTTATGTTGCGTTTGTTTAACTCTGTTAAACCATGTTACTGTGCCTGTCTAAAACACATGATGGTCTAATAAAGAGCTCAACGGTCAATAGTGAGTCAGGAGAGAGGAATAGGCGGTGCTAGCTAGCAGAGAGGATAAATATGAGGAGAAATCTTGGAGAGAGTTCTGGGAACAAGAAAAAAAAGGGGGAAGACTTCAGAGGCCAACTACCCAGCCATCCAGCTACATAGCCAGACATGGAGTAAGAAGGAAAGAAAAGGTATATAGGAATAGAGAAAAAAAAAAACCCAAGGCCTAAGATAAATGGGATAATTTAAGTTAAGAAAAATTGGCAAGAAACAAGCCAAGCTAAGGCCAGGCATTCATGACTAAAAATAAACTTCCATGTGTGATTTATTTGGGAGCTGGGTGGTGCCCCTCCCAAAAGTCAAAAAACTAAAAGAGTAAAGAGTAAAACGTCACAGAACAATGCAGAAACTAGGGGAAGTGATGGCTGTAGCAGGTTTGTAAAGAGGTCTTCTCATGTATCAGGGACTGTATGTAGTCTTAGTGACAGGATCTATGTACACCTCATGTGAATGGTATTGGTTACAAGCAATGGCAGTAGGACACTAGCCATAGTCTACCTAACCCCTAAGTAAACAGCATCTCACAATATCAGAACACAAAAAAGCTAAACAGTTCTTACATACCCCTTTGAACTCTTTAAATCCGCATAGGCCCCAATTCTTCTGAACTGGCATCAAGACTAAGATGAGACTCTTTTAAACAACTACATTAACTTGACATTTGCCCCTAACACATAAGAATTACTTTGTAGTTCGTCATGCTACAGATCATGTTGGTGTAATAGGCTATGTGACATCAACTAATATATTCTTCTGTGTTTATTTGTGGTGTAATTGTTCCAGACCCATCCACTTCCCTGGTGGGAACTTTTCAAAATAGAAAACTTGTGACTTATGGCTTTTTGCTTGTTTATTACAAATCAGAATAAACCTGGAAACAAAAATATTACATTACTGACATCTGAGTTTGATTGTGAGATGTACTTAGGGAAAGAGCCTGAAAGAAACTAAAAACCCAGAAACACATTTTCTCACTTCAGTTCCAACACCAACACCACCTGATCACCACAGAAAAGAAGAAAATATCCATACTCAAGCAAACAAATGGAGTAATTAAGAACTTGAGAAAAAAACGGTCATGGTAGAGCATCGCAGTTTGCTTTTGTTTCAACGTCTGTGAGTCTGGCAGTCTGTCTGTTCAGGATCTTAAAACAAATGCTACAAACTGGGCAGCTGATTGACAGCAGAGGTTCACCAACAGCATTCTAGAGAATCAGATCTAAGACCAAGACACGAGAAGAGTATGTGTCGGATAAAAGCTTCATTTCTGGTTCCTAGAGGTTCCATCTCACTGTATCCTAATGTGGAAGTGTGTGCATGCATGCACGCGCATGCATGTGCGTATTCATGTGTACATGCATGTGTGTGTGTGTGTGTGTTTTCTCAAGTCCTTCAGAAGAAAATGGATCCCATTCCTGAGGACTCAGCATCTGTCACTTACTCTCTCCTCCAAAGGCCCCACCCGATACCAATACTGTAAGAATTACAATTTCAACACAAACTTTGGACAAGAAACCAACATCCAAGTCCCAGCGCTAACTGAATCTTACAAGGAGGTTACTGGGACCAACATCCCCACAACTGGGAAAAATAAATACTACTCTAAGTTTCAAGAGGTGACAGTTTCACAGGTTGGTGTGTGGCAAAGACTACAGATATAAGAAATCAGAACAGCAATTATGTGTGTGTCTCTCTCTGTGTGTCTCTGTGTGTATGAATGTATATATGTAAGCATTAAATGTCTAAAGTCTTCCCCACCCCAACTTCTTTTCAACTCCAAGGTATTTTGTGAAAATATGCTGAAGCTTCCAAAAACTCCCATGAAGAACACAGAAGTTGGCTCAGAGGGGATCCTATTAAATCTACTGGAACTTCTGCACCCTCCAGTGGAAGAAATGGATGAACATCTTGTAGGGATCACAAATGCAAAGATGAGCTTGCTGCCAAGTTTAATAAACAATAGAGAATGCATAAAGGAAAGGGGGAGGGGGAAAGGTTTGAAGTAGGGCAGAAGAGAAACAATGTGGCAACAACAAAGGACAGATTGCAAATGACTAAGTAGATATGTGCATAACTTTCTGGAACTAAGA